TTACCTGTCCAAGATTAACAAAGAGCTTTCATCACCTCTGAAGTTGTAAAATCATAGTCGAGAATCGGAAATTTTAGCTATTGAATCTGCCATGACTCAATCATTGAATTTTTATGACATTATAGACAATTTTTCTAGTAGTAAAGCTCATAAAATGGCAGTCTAATCTGTGCTATGATCTATGTTTAAGAAATATTTATTTACGTATGTGAATTTGAACTTATGAATTCAGGGAGGGAAATGGAGTTTCATGCCATGTTAGTACACAGTTACTAAGCAGTATTTTGTTGTTTTTTGCATGGTTATGTTCACGTCTAGAGTTAAAAGTAATGTGCTTTCTTTTATAATGTAATAAAAACATTTTTCTTATAGAAATCTGGACTTTTTCTCATGCCTACTTATGGCTTCTCTTTCTCCGTCTCCCTTTAAAACATTTAAAATAACCTAGGACCCCGCAAACTCTTAATCCGGCGCTGCCTATAATCGTAGTTACAATTCTGGCTGGTTAGGGCCCCTAATTGCGGAGGGGGCTGCAGGGGCATAATTACGCCAGTGTTCAAATAATTTTATAGCGATTGTAAATGCTTATACCTCCAATATTTATAATTACAGCAGTTCAGTTCAATATTTTATGCAACATGGTGCAATCCTATAACTAGTTAGATGTCTGTTTCATATCAGAACGATCCACATTCGATTCTCACTTTAACAACTTCGCTCTCGTTATCGTCATATCCAATTTATTTGTATTTAAAGTACAAATATCATAAACGCATGGTGCATTTTATATAATTTATATGAAAAGATGGTGCGGTATTAGTTACTATGTGTTGTAGCTGGTTAAATCAATGACGTGTAGTTTGGATTTGCCAGTGGTCAGAGTTTTATCATGGATATTACACCTCTCACAAGATAAAAAGGCAAGAAGCGGGAGTGGGCTTGCTAAAGAACGGAATTTCTTAGGGCCTCTCAGTGATCTGGAGTTAGCCTGTAATTATTTGGTGAGAAGTCGTGGAGTGGAATGGAACCGCCAGGTGAGAAGTGGGCTGGCCCCCTCTGTCATATCTAATAGTGACCTTGAGCTCAGGCGTGCTCATCTCGTGGGTAGAAGTATGTCACGGTTTCTGACATGAATATATCATATAATAACTAATACCGGCTCATATTATATGTGCGCGTGTGCGCGCGCGCGCTCATTGAATTAAATAGATTCAATACTATTAATTGCATTAATTATTAATAGGCGATTAAAATCAGCACTATAAAACAATAATAGAGAGAGATAGATTATTTTTAAAAGTCTACACCGGTATTAACATTACTACACACTAAAAATAACAGGCACAGCAGAAATAAACTACTGCATTAAGTTGTCCTTGATATGTACAACAAAAATCTGGTGAAAGGGCAATATGTTCGTGTGGTGACAAAGAATAAGGAGATTTTAGTTCTGTGCTCTATGTATATATTCATGAAAGGTTAACTGAAAATACTAGCCTTAACACGCAGCTTTCTTGCGTTCAATCATACATTGCATAGCTGTGTCTGACAGATATTAAACAATACTGATTCTGCATATGTATTATTACTTCCTTTATTTGAAGAATTTACGTATATTTGTACTGGTGTTCAGAATGGGCCGTCTCTAGTTGAATGTTTGGAACGTTTATAAAGACTGTTATTGTTTTTCAGATGATTCTATTAATTCAAACCCATATAATGTTGCCCAGAATTGGAGTTGGAAGATCTTAATCGCAAATTATTCAGTTAATCTGCCTCTACATGTTTCTATCTAAACGTAAAAAAAAATTACTTGAATAAAAATATCGATTTAAAGTTCCTAGTTCTTCCTTGCAGAAGGTGATGTTTTAATGTTCTTGCATTTTTGGTAAGAGTGCGTGCGTGAGAAAATAGTTTGTTTTGTAGTTATGCACAAAGCTACACAATGGGCTATCTGTGTTCTGCCCACCACGGGTATCGAAACCCACTTTCTAGCGTTATAAGTCCGCAGACATATCGCTGTGCCACTGGGCAAGAAAAGAGAAGAGAGCTGGTGAAACTGGTTCACTACGCCAAAGGTCACATCGTAGAAATTTAGTTGTTATAAGAAATAGTAATAATCCTGACATGCTGGAAGACATCGCTAAGGTAGTAACTCAGCTGTATATTTCTATTACTCAAACTTCATAGTCTCATATTTCGTTTTCATTGCAGAATCTTGGACAATTCCATTATTTTAGAAATAACAGGAGTTCGTGTTAGTATAGCTAAATGTACTTTCTAGCTTGGCCTTCTGTGAAGAATATGACGGTATAAGGTTAATTAAAATATAAAAACATAATGGTTTTAAGATTATCTGTTTATCCAATGCAATGAGAAGACTGGCATGACTTGGTTGTTATAGCGCTCGATTCGCGTAATCGAGATCTGTCGCCGAACATGCCTTTTTAGCCATGACAATTTTATAACGTTATGGTGAATCCTACTATTCGTTGCTAAAGAGCAGCCCAAGAGTTGGCAGTGGGTGGTGTTAGCTATTTTTCTTCCCTCTAGTCTACTTTTCAAAATTACAGGCGGCTAGTGAAGATAGACTTCGAATAGCTTTGAGCGAAATTCAACAAACAAACAAATAGCTTTAAATTTCTGCATTATTATAAGATAACTAGCGGTCAAAAAATTTACATTGAAACTCGTTTCCCATTAATAAAGCTTATTCAATATCTGTTTCAGTGTAACCAAAGGTTACTGGTGTACGGTGGAGTATTTATGGCAATGTAACCTGATTCAGATAAAGAAAGATAAGTTAAACCTTAGCATTTTTTCTTTACTAAAGACTAAAGATAGGTATAATTCTACATTAAAGTTATTTTTAAATATTAAGGGTAACTGCATTCCCACAACTGGCTGCAGACAGCAAAAAGCACTCAACTCCTAACCCTTAACTGATTGTCCTTAGTTTCTGGCTAGTTTTACATCGGCATCTGGATTTTGCCTTAGAGAAGGAATATCCCCAACGCATTTGGGTGTTATGACCATTATCCTTTATGACTTAAGGACGACAAAAAGGAATGATAACGGAGGTAGCATAATTTTGAGTTTCAATTCTATTATATAGCTTATATATATATATATATATATATATAT